TCAAATAACAGATCTTGAGAAACATGGCTTATCTGTAAATGTGAGTGGCCAGCAACGAACAATTTATTTTTCTCTGTTAACGATCATTGGTGATAATCTAGCTTTGAACGATATTTGTGGCTTTACTACAAGTTTTAACGCGCAAAATGTGTGTAGAATATGTATAGCGGACAAAATTGAGAGCCGAAAACAAGTGAAAGAAAATACTCAAATGCTACGGACTGAACAAAATTATCTACAAGATTGTGATGACTGCTCCACGGGAGTAAAAACTAAATGCGTTTTTAATGAAATTCCGAACTTTCATGTCATAAAAAATGCAAGTCTTGATCCAATGCATGATTTATTCGAAGGAATATGTAGATACGAAATAGCTAAAATCTTGAACTTTTTGATAAATAAAGAACATTTTTTTTCTCTTGACATTTTTAATGCCCGCTTGCAACATTTTGATTGTGGTCGAAACTTTGGAAAAAATATACCAATCTCAATATCTAGCAACGCTCTTAATGCACAAAATTTAATCATTTCAGCGTCAGAAATGATTTTTCTAATTGAACATCTTGGTATTCTGATTGGCGATCTGGTGCCTGTAAATAATACCATTTGGGAAGTTTTCCTTGTGTTGCGGGAAATTATAAATATCATAATGAGTACATCATTTACTCTTGAAACAACTCAACTTCTTGAAACTTTAATATCGGAACACCATTCGTTATATATGGAAGTTTTTGCGGAGCCATTGAAACCTAAACATCATTTCGTCGTACATTACCCTCGATTATTGAGAAGATTAGGACCACTTAAACATTTATCTTGTTTTCGTTTCGAAGCAAAACACAAACAATTCAAAGAGAATGCGAAGGCTATAAGATCTCGCAGAAATTGTCCGTACACTTTGGCATTAAAACATCAACTTATTCTGTCACATAGATTTCTTAGTAAAAAAGGATTTTTTGACCGATTAAGTTTGGGGCCCACATTACGTCAAGAATTAACTGATCTGCCTGAATATCTTGATTTCAAAAATACACTCCCATGGAACATTCAATGCGAATATGTACTCGATACTTGGGTAAAAGTTAACGGCATTACTTATCATAAAGATATGGCTGTAGCTATGCATTTGAATGACAATATTATTGTCTTTGGCGAAATTCATTACATAATTATTAATAGTATGCGCCAAATATCATTTATATGTACAGAATTTCATACTAAAGCTATTAACAGACATTACTGCGCATTTGAAGTAATTAAAAAATCTTGTTGGAGATTTATTAGGCTAGAAGATTTAGTTTCTTACGTTCCGCAAAGTGTTCACATGATGAGCGATGGTAATTTATATATTTTATGCGAATAGGTNTAATCACACACATATACTTAGAGAAACGTACTTTAATTTATTATAAATTTATGTTGAAAATGTTTGTTTTCCAAACTATATTGTATTAACGATACTGTGTTCAATAGATTATATAATTAATAAATAAAAATATTTTTATATATTTTGTCTACATTTCATATTTGACCTTTTAATTCTTCCAACATACAGTTAATATTACTACAACAAAATTATTGTATTATCCTACAAAACATCCTCAGTTGAATCAGCTAAATGAATTGTTGAAAAGAACAGAACTATTCTACTGGCTTAATATACTATTTGGTTCTTTGAATAAAAATTGCATTGTTCAATCTAAATACTGCGTTCTTTTGATAATTTCTTCAGTTTGATAAATTGAATCTTTGTTACTTGAATTACAGCCTTCTTTAAATTAATCCACAATTTTGTTTGTTAATCTCAATTAACAGGCAAGCTAATCGTATATTTCATTTTTTCGAAAAAATAATTATTTATATTGAGCGGGTATTTAGTTACTTTTTCTTTACATTTTGATGAACGCTTTGTGTGTTTGATTCTTGTAAT